GCAATCTTCTAACATTGCTGGAAGGCCAAAACATCTTCCTTATATCTCAGGCAACTTTTCCATCCTGCTTAGATTCCATCCGACTCCTGTGCCCCCTCCTGCCCCATTCCTTGGCTGCAGTCAATGAGTTCTCACAGATGAGTCCAATTCCCCCCTGGGCCCCGGCGTGTGATGACTCTGCAAATGAAAAAACACATTACCCTCTCAACTACCCAGCTACACTAACATTTTATGTCCAGGTGCCTTGGGGTTTTAATTGAATGTCAAACATAATTTGAGGAAGGTAACAGAGAGTTTGAGATACTGCCCTTAGAAAGCAATTCAGTGGTGGCAAATTACCTGCAGGCTTGCTGCACAGAAGGATGAGAAATTTCACCCCTTGCCTTCCCATGCAATTCACCAGGAGGACAGGACACTTTGACCATGGGGGGTGCACAATGTTGTTTGCAATTGAAGCTGACCTTTGAGCTGAACAGACTTCATTTCTTTTGCACATGAACCGCACCTTCCTTCCATTTGCCCACTAAGGATAACATCTCTTATGAGCTGTCCTTCCCCCAAAAGGCTAATTTCATGACAATCTTCTCAGATAGACTTCAGTAGACTACTCATCTTAGATGGTATTTTCTACCAGGGAAGATGATGATTTCAAAAGCCAGTCAGCCAGCAAGAGGCATTCTGAGAAAGTTAGGAAAACATTGGAAGCTGGTCACCCAACTAGCCACCCACTGTCTCCCTCACACCCCTCTTTCAGGAACTGCAACACCTACTCTCAAAAAATTTAAGCCAGCTGTACATTTGTAGGTATAACAAACATTGGAAATATCTCTCCAAGTGTACCACTGAACATCATAGCCATTGTTAACTCATGGCCAAGTCTATCTTTCAATTTTCCAATCTCTGAAATGCTGGACAGGATGGAATGGGGAAGGAGAGGGAAAGAGAAGCCTCAAAGGGAAGGAGAAAGAAGCCAGAGAGCCACATCCCATCTACCTGATATTCTACAAAGTTCTCCATTCCAATGCTGGCTGGGGAATTCTGGGAATTGAAGTCCATACATCTTAAAGTTGCCAAGTTTGAAAAACACTGGTCTACAGGGTAAGCAAACCAATCTTTCTCTGGCTAGTTTTTACATGGATGTATAAGTCCTTCCCATCGAATTACTGCATAAATCTAACAGTTTTATTTTTCTTTTTAAACACCTTTGGGGAAAACCCACATTTAAATATGCACCCCTTTAACACATCTCTTTTTCTTTAATTTGAAAACTGTGAGGGGACATTTGGGAAGTTTAAAAAAATTCTGAAGAACTAAATTCAGATCCACATATTCTTCCAAGTCAATATTGGAATCCCCTAAATGGAATTTGTCCAGTACACATAACAAAAAAGATTTACAGAAGGTCATTTGAAAGAGCTGAAGTCGCTCAAGAGACCTGCATGGCCAGAGGGCTTGGTAGCTTGGCACGATCATGCTGATGTGGAAGACATGAATCCAAATGAGATGGTGGTGGGGAAGCAAAAGAATAATCTCTCCACAAGAAATTATCTGCCACTGCTAGAAGAGTCATCAAAACTGCAGTTCAAAAAGCACCGCCTGGACCAGGAAGGAAAGGTTTAATTCTTCGTTCTGCATGTGCCATCCATCCTTCAACAAGCAAATGGCCTCATTCCACCTGTTTAATAGTCTGGAAGGTGAATTGAAGCTCCTTTATATTCTGGCTTAGAATAGCAAGCACCTGGACTGTCACAGTCAAGATAATTTGCCACAGGAAAAGCGGCTATTTTCTCCATAAATTGTTTTCTTCCTCTCCACCAATGCAGAGCAAGAAAAGTGCCTCATGCTCATTGATTCCTCACCAGCAAGACCATCAACAGGGAAGGCCTAGGAGTGATTCAGCCCATAGCTACTTCAAGAAGCGTCAGCTGCTTAGCTGGAAAAGTGAACTTGTGCTCAAGAACTGACAACACCACAAGGCCAGAACAGGACTCTTAAGATTCTTAAAAAGGGACCTTAAGAGGCTGGCCAATCCTCACCGTGGCTCACTGAAGTTCCCACAACACCTCCCCTCATCGATTGGAGACCAGCTGTTGGCTTCAGTACCCTTAAGGGAAGGATCAGAAGGGTTTCAGTAGCATCTTTTCAGATTAATGAGTTTTGTTCAAAAGGATGGCTGAGGAATTCTTGGAGTTGAAGTCCACACATCTTCAAGTTGCCAAGGTTGAGAAACACTGGTCTAAGTGGAGGGACATCCCCAGCTTCCAAAGTGCTGGTCCTCTGAGGAGCACCTCCTTCCATGAAGAGGTTTCCTTGAATGTTTAGCATAAATCTCTTCCAATGTTTTTACCATTTAAAAAAGCAGGATTGCTTACAACAGTATCACAAATTCTGCTAGTCTTTTCTTCTTCTCTGGGGCTCCCTGGAATGGCCATGGAATAAGTCTTTCCAGGCAGCAGTGTGGGAAAAAATCTCAAAGGGCCTGCTGGTGTTGTAAACATGCATAAAGGTTAAACAAAGCTGAAATGAGATCCCTTGGTCCCATCATACATTTTTAAGAAACTAAGCAAAATAGTAAATAAAGTGTTCAGTAGATTTGTTTTCTTACTGGGTCAAGGAAAAACACTAACCAGACTTTTTGGCTGCCGTTTCTCCCATCATAGATTCCTTGGAGACTCACACTTCCAAATCCGTTTCCATGGAAATAGGGGGCAAAATTATTTTGCATCCCTAAATGTATTCGTTATGTTTTATTATGTAGGTAACATACATTCTGGATCACTTCCCATGAAACCATTCCAGTAGAAATAACAAAATAAAAATGATTAATCCACAATAGTAAAGCACAACAAATTGCAGACAGCTTTTGGTGTCTCGTTCAGTGTAGCAGTTAAGGCATCAAGACAGAAACCCAGAGATCATAAGTCCTAGTCTTGTCTTGGACTGGGTGACCTTGGCCGGTCACTCACTCTCAGCCCTAGGAAGGAGGCAATGGCAAGCCACTTCTGAAAATCTTGCTAAGAAAACTACAGGGACTGGTGCAGGCAGTTGTCAGAGTCAAAACAGACTCCAAGGCACAATAAAAACACATATGCATTGAAAGACCGGGGAAAAGGGAGGTAGGAAAACCACATTAATTCATTAATTCATACTTGTTCGCAACACGTGACTTGGCCTAAAGGAAATCTGCCAAAATTCTTGTAAAATTGCACTGAACCATTGACCATTACTGAATTTTCCAAGCTGGTTGGAGCCCCCCAAGAAATCCAACCAATTTTTATCCTTTCTAGAAACTACATATCATCTACAACACCCTACATTAGTGTTTCTCAACCTTGGCAACTTGAAGATGTGTGGACTTCAACTCCCAGAATTCCCCA